GGGAGGGGCTGGGGAATGATGGGGTGAAGGGAGGTGGGGAGGATGGGGACGGGGTGATGGATCACTGAGAAGGGCTGGAGGAGAGGTGGGGGCAAGGGTCTGGGAAGGGGTGCGGGAGAGGGGCTAGGTGGATGGGAGTTGGGAGAGTTGGGGTGATGGGGTAGAGGGGAAGGTAGCCAGGTGTGGGGAGGGATGAGGTGGAGGGAGGTGGGGAAAGGGGTGAGGAGGGGAAGGGGTGACAGTGCCACCCAATAAAGTTGTTGGCAACACCATCCCTGTCAGACCCCTGGTTTATTGGGGGGGGGGAGGACGAACCCGAGGTTGAGAGGAAAAGACAATGGACCCCGAGGGGCAAAGTCAGTTTGGAAAACGGCCGGCGCGCAGCGCCTGGCTGCCTGCCTGGAGCTCGGCGCAGAGCTGGGACTTAGAGAGCCGGCGTGGGGGCGCGGGCCGCCCCGCGCTGCTGGGGGTCCCCGGGAGGCCAGCGCCCGCCAGCTCCCCGAGCCCCAGTTTCCCCCGCCGGCTGCGTTTTCCTCCCGCACAGGCACGCTCGGCCTGTGCTGCCCCTCGCTCGGCGGCCGCCAGGGGGCAGCAGGTGCCCGCGCGAGGGCGGCCACGCTCCGCGGGTCCGCGCCCCGCCCCGCGGGTCCGCGCCCCGCCCCGAGTCCGGGATGCGATGCCCCGGCCGCCTGCGCGAAGCCGGGACTCCGCCGCGGGCGCTGAGCCGCGGGGACGCACGGACAACAACGCTTTCAATGCAAGACCCCAATATTGAAATGCAAGACCCCAACCTCCCCTTCTCCTCCTCCTCAGGGCGCGGCTCACTGGGAGCAGTACTTGGCCAGCTCAGCACACTGGGCTGGGACATCAGCCGCCCTGGGCCGACGCCAGGCCCCTCCGGTCACCCTCTCCCAGCCACACGGCGGGCCGGGTCAGCCTCCCTCAGGCCCCAGCTTCACGGGACACCCCGGCCTCTCCCCCCATCATGGGGCTCAGGGCAGCTAGTCCAGGAGGGCGCCGACATCAGAGGGGATCCCCTGCCCCCCAGCTGGGGAAAGACCCAAACTCGACATTCCTGGTCTCCTGACTGGCCAGTCCCAGTCCTGTCGTAGGGCCACGAGCTGAGGGTTCCAGGGCCCGCCCGCAGCCATGGGGGGCAGCGGGGTGGACACCGGGCCCCAGGCCGCCCCCGTACCCTGGCGGCCTCCTGTCCTGCTGTCTCCTAGCCGTGCGCCTCCTCGGCTGCTGGCCACTCACTAGCCATTTGCCTGGGCCTTGGGTTTTCTTTTAAGAAGTGAAACAGACTAGGGCGGCCTCCAGGGCCTCGCTGCCCCGGGCACAGGGCGCCACCCCGCTTGGGGCCTGAGGGAGAGGGCACCAGCGTCTCTGGGGAACAGGACGAGGGCCCAGTGGCCGCACCCCGTGGGGGCCGTGAGGAGCAAGAGGCATGGGAGCGCTCACCGGTGCTCACGGGCCCCCCCACCCCCCACTTCTGGGGGTGCACAGGGCGACGGCTCAGGCAGCGGCTCCTACCTGCTGCTCACACAGTGGGGAGACCAGACCTGCCACCAGACGCCACCACTGCTTCTAGGTCAAGCAGCGGTCACTCTGCCCAGGCCCAGGAGGCCGGCACCGTGGACGGACGCCCACGGCCCGGGGCCTCAGAGGAAGACCGAGAACCTGCCACAGGGAAGGAAGGCGGGGTGGGGCGGGGGACCTCTCAGCAGATGGACTCTGGCCTGGTCAGCAGCCAGCCCACGAGTCTGTCCCCGGACAGGGGTCTCTGGGGACCCCCACCCTTCCTATTTGCTTCCAGCCCTGGCAGACAACGGCCAGTTGGTGCAGAGACCGGCCCAGCCTGACTGTCAGTGTGAGTGTGGGGGGGCCCTCCCTACGGGGACCCCGCGGGAACTGCTGTGAGCATCCACGTCCGCAGGGGCGAGGCAGGCATCCCAGAGGGCCCTGAATCGCTGGTGACCCCGAAACGCTCGCATCGTGGCCAGGTCACCCCCTGGGCTATACCTCCTTCCATCCTCTGTGAGCGCAGCAAGCCCACTGGGCCCGGGGCCTTGGCCGTCCTCCTGGCGGCCGGCTTCCAGCCTGAGAGAACCCCTCTAGGCTTGCCTGGGGGGGGGGGGCTGCACCTCGGGGGCCCCGGGACCCCTGGGGCCACCCCCAGGTCCGGCAGGCTGGGGTCAGCCTCTGCACGAAGCAACAGAACCCACGCAGGACCAAGCTGGCCACAGAATCCCCTTCCCAGCCCGTGTGGGAAGGGTGAGGGCGGGCGGGGCCCGGCGGGGCCCGGGGTGCCCTGCACCGCCCAGGGAGCCTGGGCTGGGCCCCTCGCAGGGGCCAGACCGGCATGAATCACCTGCCGAGCAGCTGAGGCCAAGCAGCCTCAGGCCTGCGAGCGTTGTGAAAATCTCGGGGTGGGTCAAAATGAGGTCATGTGAAAAGTGCCGTCAGCACGCCGGCCGGACCGGAGCGGGCAGCCCAGCTCGGCCCTCGCCCGCCGTCATGCAGCCGCCCGCTCTGCCAGCCGGCCAGCCACGCCCGCTGCCTGGGCAGCTGGGGCGTCCTCACCCTGCCTGCGCCCCCCAGCCGAGCCGCTACCGGTCCTCACGGCTCCAGGCCAGCGGCGCCAAGGGTTTTCCCGGGTGGACAGAACACGGGGCCTCGTCCACCAGGACAGGCCGGGCTGGGGTGTGGGCCGCGCATGCTGCCGGGCGGCGCCCGAGGGGAGCGGGCCTCCTGGACCCGAAGCAGCATGAGGCGGGGGCGTGAGACCCCGGCACGGGTCGGGGGGCCCGTCCAGAGCCAGGACCCTACTCAGGCCTTTCCCCGATAGGCGCCATCACCTCCCAGGCCAGTGGAACCAGACGGCCCCCCGGGTCACTCCTGTGAGGCAGGTTTCCGTGGCGGCCCCTCAGAAGCTGAAGTGGGGGCATCTGCTCGCGGATCACCCACTCCCCTCCCCCGCCGGTTGCCCCCGAAAGTCTCCCTGCCCGGCTGCAACAGCAGCCGCCAGCCGGATGGACGGATGGATGGACGGACGCAGGGAGTCAGCGGTCACTCAGCTCCCAGGCCAGGGCGCGGCCCCCTGGCTGGGCCCTCACGCAGGCCGCACCCCATTCTGAAGGCCGGGCGGAGCCTCGGCCGGCTGCTCCCTCCTGGCCCCGGGGGTGCCCCTACGCACCTGATGACGGTGGGGGTGATCTCTGCGCAGAAGAACACGCTGAGGCTGCCCACCGCGTGGGAGGCGAACATGCCCACGATGGAGAACGTGATGGAGAACTTGTCCTTGACGCTGTCGCTCATGCCTGAGGGAGAGGCCAGGGCATGAGGGGCGCGCGGCAGGAGGGCGGGGGGCGCTGGGGGGGCGAGCAGAGGCAGAGGGGAGCCAGGCGGGCCACAGGCAGGGTCTCCCTCCGCCCCCACCCCCGCGTGGTGGGCAGCACAGACCAGGGTGCTCGGTGCCCCCGTGGGCCAGGGGGCACCTCTAGGAAGGGCAAAGCCCTGTAGGCCGGGGTCTGCTGGGGCTCCCCGCTGGCGGAGTCACCCCGGGGCTCAGGGGTGAGAGCCAGAGCCACGCACCCCCACCCCCGTGTGGGCCTCGCCCCAGAGAGCCTGCTCCCTGGCTTTGGGCGACGGCCTGACACCAGAGCAGGGTCTCAGCCGGGCTCGAGGTCTCTCGGAGCCCAGCCGGAATGGGGGGCCTTGGGGGGGCAGCGCTCGGCCCACCCTGGATGCTGCAAGGGCACCGGCAGCTGCCCTACACGGACTGCGCCCAGGCATGCAGCTGGGCACACACGTCTGGGCACGGCCCAGCCCCCACAAGGCTGAGTTCTCAAACTCGGGGCTCTCGGTGCAGGCAGCGGGGGGCTTCACAGCAGCTTCCCCTGGCAGTGAGTCCAGCCTCCAGCAAGCACCCCCCGGGGCTGGGGCCTTGTTAGCAGCCCTAAGACAAACTGCAGGGTCGTGGGGCCTGAAGGGGTCCCCAGAGCCAGGGGAAGAGGGGGGGCATGCGTGCAAGCAGGTAGGCGCTTTCTAGAAGCAGGAGGGAGGAGCAAATACGAATGTACGCTTATAGTGTCCAACCTACGGCCAACTTCAGCTGCAACTCTGGAGGGCGGGGGAGGAGGAAACGGAAACCACAGATCCGTGAGTCTTTGCCACACGCCCGTCTGGCTCAATCATCAGAAGCCCAAGCGCACGCAGTCGCCACTCACCTGAGTCTGGGTGCTGGCTGTATTTCCCGATCACTGGTCCCAGGATCAGCGCGGAGGGGATGGGAGGAGGCGGGAAAGAGGGAGGAGAGCTCGTTAGGTAAGATCTTACTCCCCGGTTTTGTTTCTAAGGGGGCTCCCGGCCCCCAGGAGCTCCACCCAGGGGTGCCCGCCGCTAGGGACCTGCCGGCAGCGTGTGCGGTCAGCCCACGAAGCTCCTTTTGTCCCCAAGGGAGGGCCCTAACCCCCGTGGGAACAGACTCCGGTGAGTCTCCCCATCGCCAGCCTCAGGGTGCAGAGACTCATTCCAGAGTTTTCGCTGGAAAACGCAGCAGGCGGGGGCGGACCGGCCGGGTAGCATTTCGGGGCTCAGGTCTCCGCTCCCACAGCTCCTGGTCCGCGTGCAGCTGCTCTGGCCTTGTGCCCAGGGACAGAGGTGTCCGTGACCCCGAGGCGGGAGCTCACGGGAGGCCCCAGGGCCCCCCGCTCGGGGATGGTGCCTAGCTGTTTCCCTGTTCGTCATGGGTGCGAATAAGCCCAGGCTTCCAGCAAGAGCCCAGATGCAGGCATGTCCCTGCTGGGGACCCGCTCGCTCAGCGAGGCCAAGTCCAGCCGCCGCTCTTCCCTCCTCTGCGGGATGCAGACCCGCGCACCTTCTGCGGGCAGGCTGGACATGCCAGGCCACCGGCCGCTGGGTCAGCCCTGCCCAGGAGGGCTGGTGCTGGCATCTGTCCCCTAAGGGGGGGCGTGGGGATGGTGGGGGTGCCGTTTCCATGAGGGGAGCTGTGCTGCGCTGCCGCCCTGCTGGAGGATTCTCGAGTGTTCGATTATGGTTACGATTTCCTGAGTTCTGTGGCCCAAAGAGAAGCCCATGGACTTGGGGCTGTTTCCTGAGGAGTGGCGACCCAAAACCAGGCTGCCAAGATGGGGTGAGTCCCCTGTAGTTCTGCCCGAAAGGCGCAAGTCCATCTTCTGGGTCACGCGATGTCCAGCAAATAAACAGTCTGGTGGTCCGTGAGCTCCTGCCCTTGGGGAGGCTGCAGGCTTCGCGGGTGGGTGCCCCACCCCCACCCCAGGTCTTTGGGGGACATAGCTTGTCTTTCCCCATTTTCCTCAAGCTGCTGATCTTGGAATAGCAACTTCCAGATTT